TCTATCTTGTTGTATCCCCAGTAAGCAGCCTGGCACACACAGTAAACATCTGAATATATGAATGAATGATGTCTTTTTGGTTATGGGCTCAGAAGGCCTAGATTCCTCAGTCCTCCCAGGCGGGTAGTGTCTGTTCAGCATGTATCTACAGAGGCATCTTGCCCCTGCAGGGTATCTTGGAGGTGAGCTCCCAGAAAACTGCCCTTGCTTACAGAGCAGATGCAGTGAGCTTGCCCAGCATCACAAAGCAAGGGTTGGCAGCTGGTTCACCAGGGTGGTGAAGATCCTGCTCAGAGACTGGATTTAACCTTATCAAGATGGCTTGGCCCTCTGGAGACTTCTTTGCATGGAGGCACGCCCAGGAAGCCAGGTGGTGGCAGTGATGTGTCCAGGAGTTTGCAGAGGCAGCCAAGCACAGCAGGAGAAAGATCAGCACAGGGCACTCCCTGCCCTGGACAGCCACAACCATTGGCCAATCTGACTCTGAGCTCCCTCCCCAAACATGCCACTTCTACCAGCCCTCAGTGGCTCCTGACAGGGACCAGGAGAATAATGAAGTTCTGGGGAAAAGAAGGAATATCATTCTGGCCTCAAGCTTCAGGATTCATTATTCTGTGTCTAAGAACTTAAAAGTTAATAGTAGGAATAGCAAGCACAGAGCAGGAGCCAAGCACTGATCTTGGAATCTCACAAGCACTCCCCGTCTGCCTTCATCATAGTCCATGGTGCTGTGCTGTGAAAGCCCCCGGCACAGGGAAGTCTCAGAACCTGCCCACGTTGCCACACTAGGTCTGCACAATGGCCCAGTTGGCCACACAGCCCAGGCCGTGGCCAATCCAGCAATCTGAAACTCTCTGGGCACTCTGGGTCCTGCTTCAAGCAAAAGGGCTCACCTCAAGGGACAAACCCAGCCTTTAACCCATGAGCTGCAGTACATGAGATCTTCCTGCTTGCCCAGCTGTAGTTGGCTCTATGGTGCCAAGCTGTTTGCTATAGCGGCTCTTTTCAAACAGCCCTGTGAGGTCATGACTGTTTGTCCCTCAAATGAGTGAGGATGTGGAGATAAAATAACTGGCAAAGGTATACGGTTATTACATGGCACAGCCAGGGTTGGAGCCCAGTCCATGTAGTCCCCAAGGTCAGTGCCTTACCAACCTTACCAGAAAGGAAAGTCTCCAACCAAGGAGATTCCAGTTTTCAAGAGCAAAGTCTCTCAACTCACTGGGCAGGAATCCACCTGAAATGGTGGAAAGAAAAGGGCTCAGAGGCCTGTCAGTCCCAGGTTTAAGTCCTGACTTTACCACCCTGTGACTCTGGACAGACCACTTCACATGTCTTAGGCTGGTTTCCAGTCTGGCTGCCTTTGGGAAGGGGCCTTGGTGGCCTGGTTAAGAGATGGAAGAAAACTAGCTTTCCCTGAGAAACTGCTTGTCTGATCGGAATTATTTTTTTACCATGTGCATATATTACTTTTCCTAAATACTTACACATAATTTTTTGGAGGAAGTATCTATTTAATTTTAAAAAGTGGTGTGTATTAATTTCTTTAAGTACATAAGAAAAGTAACACCCACCTCATTGGGTTTTCATAAGAATTCAAAATAATGCATGCAGCTAGTAAGGGCCTACAGTAGGTGCTGAATAAGTAGAGCAAGTATGAGGCGAGGAGGCAGGAGGCGGAAGCAGGCTCATTCCTGCCCCGGACCCAGAGGGCCCCAGCCCACAGCCAGCCCCGGGCATCAGGACAGGAGACCATTCCACAGAGCTTTAGGGGCAGGCAGAGGCCTGGGAACCCATGCCCTTCCTTTCCGAAGGACCTCCTCACAGGATGCCTCCACAGTCAGACTCCCTGCCCCAATGCCTGCCCGAAGCTGTCCCCAGTTAGAGGGAGCCTGGATCTGCTCCGGATGTCTGTGTGAGACCTGCTGACTGCTAGTCTGGGGCTCTCATGCCTCTGGCTCTGGCCTCCCCGGGCTAAGCAGGACAAGGCTGGTGGCCCTGGGGGTGCCCCCAATTATGACCCTTGGTTGGGTATGCCCTGGCCCCTTCCCTTAGGAGGCAGGAGTCATTTCGGCAGTATGTTTACTTGCTCCTCATGACCATACTCCCGTCACATTGGACACAGCTGCTGCCCCTCCACTGACAGGCCTGCATGGGGCAATTAGATCCATGAACACACTCGGCTGGACATTACTCCATGACAGATATTTCACCATAGAATAATTATACTCCAAAATACCACTAATAAATCAAGCTAGACAAATGACCAACATGTACTCTATCACCTTCACCTTCAGTCAGCATCTCAGGGCTGGCCTAGGGCTGCTGGAGCCCCCGAGCAGGCCCCCGAGCAACCCTGGGAGATTAACCATATGCTGCTGCTCAGAAGCAACCAACGTTCCCAGAGGGGCAGTGCCCTTATCAGTGAATCTGTGCCCGGTGGCAATGCAGAGAGATGACCGTGCCTGGCTGAGCTGGCAGGGATGAGCTTCTGGAATGGAGGACCCTGACTCCCAGGCCTGTGAGTGGGTAAGGAAGGGGTTCCTGATTGCTCACTGGAGGGCGGAGGGCAGAGGACAGGTCTGGGTATAGGGCAGGGGGATAGGGCCTGAGCACCAGGAAGAACCCTGAGGCGAGGAGGGAAGGCGAGGCTCTGCAGTGACAGTTTCACAGGAGAAAACCTGGCCATCTGGAAGGGCAGGGGCAGAGGGAGTTTTGCAGATAGAAACCCTGCCACATCTACAAAACTGGACAGGCTACATTCAAGAAAATGGAACTGGATTATTGTTTAATCCCCTACGCAAAAGTAAACTTTAAATGGATCAAAGACTTGAATGTAAGTCATGAAACCATAAAACTCTTAGAAGACAACATAGGCAAACATCTCCTGAATATAAGCATGAGCAACTTCTTCCTGAACACATCTCAAGCAAGGGAAACAAAAACAAAAATGAACTCATGGGACTACATCAAATTAAAAAGTTTCTGTATGGCAAAGGACACCATCAACAGAACAAAAAGGCATCCTACAGTATGGGAGAATATATTTGTAAATGACATATCCAACAAGGGGTTAACATCCAAAATATATAAAGAACTTACACACCTCAACACCCAAAAAGCAAATACCCAATTAAAAAATGGGCAGAGGATATGAAGAGACACTTCTCCAAAGAAGAAATTCAGATGGCCAACAGCCATGAAAAGATGCTCCACATCACTAATCATCAGGGAAATGCAAATTAAAACCACAGTGATCTATCA